CGCTTCAAGTGGTTATGCACCAAGGCTCTTTCAGACTTTTTTACTTCTGGGCCATTACGAGACGCGTAAGGAAAGCGACTTGTTTCAGAAGGCCCATTTCAGCTGCTTATACCCGGGTTCGAAGCTTCTCAGTCATAGTCCACGACTCATGACGTATGTAAGCATGGGGATTAAGATCGACTTGAACACAGGGAGTTTAACTTTCAGGCTGAACTCTGCCATAGTCACAATGGATCGGGCTAGTTCACGCAAAATGACACTGGTTACTCAAATCTTTTCCTCCGTTTCCATCAGCAATAAACACGACTCAAAGTACTTGATTTTCTTAACCTGCTCCACTGATTCTCCGTTTTTCTGAAGAAGGCAACGGGCAGAACAACGAAAAAGCACTAGGCTTTTCGTTTTAAATCCGTTCACACGCATGCCGGCCACGTCGCACTAGGCTGCGAACTTTTCCAGAGTGCGCTGTAAGTCACTCTCAGAAGATGCCAATAAAATAAGGTCGTCTGCAAACACCTACCTCCTGATGCTCTCATCGCCTTGGCTGGGCTTGACTATTTTATCCATATACAACAGAAACAGAATAGGGGGATAGAATGCAGTTTTAATGGATTCCAGTGCCAACGGTCAAAGGTTTCAACTTAGCGCAAGTTACTCTGACGTAGCAGCGGCTATCAGCATATAGTGATTGAATGAATCGTTGCAACTGGTCACTCCTTCCATATGTTCACTGGCATGCCCACGGATTATTGCGCGGAATCCGAATATAGGCTCTCTGCAGGTCCACGAAGCGCAGTATTGATTTCTCAACAATCTGGCTTCTGGCGAATATCTGGTCAGATGTGCTTCGGCCCGGTCGGAAGCCACATTGATCTTCTTGTATTTCGGAGTCTGCTATTTCGCGTGACCTCCTTTCCAACACCTTTGCTTAAACTTTTCCTATTAGGCTCAATAAGGCAATGTCCCAATAATTGAAACACTTTCTGCGGTCTCCCCTCTTAAATAGGAGTTCCACAACTCCCGTTTTCCAGTCCGCCGGTGTGTTCCCCTTAGCCATTGCAGTTTGACAGACAGGCGTACGCCAGCACATGCGTTTTTCGCTTATTGTTTTGAGCATTTCAGGGCGGATTTCACGGCTTTTGTGACTTCATCTAGTTAAAGACTAATATTCGTTACCTGCTGCTCTTCAGGCGAATTTTCTTGGGTTGATCAGGGTTACAGAGTTCTTCAAAGTACTCCTTCAATCGCGGAAGAATTTCGTAATTTTCGGCAAGAGGGTATCAAGTTTATTCTTCAGGACTCTTAGACTGTTTCTTATCATTTCAGAGGCGGCGGATGGTCTGCCAGAATACTTTGTTTGCCGTGTGGAAATTCGACTCCAACATCTCACCAAACTTGTCCCAGGGATTAGCTTCGGCTTTCGACACTGCTTTCGTTGTCGTCTTGCTTACTTCTTCATACTGCATGCGATTTGAGGGCTCTTTGTTTAAGCCATCTCTTGAATGCAATCTTCCGGCTGACCGCCAGTTGTACCTCTCGTCGAGTCCAAACCGGCAGCGCCGGATGGGCCGCTCTAAAAGAGCTTCCAGTCACTTTCCATATCAGCGATCATTACCGGGGTCTCTTCAAACCGTCGGTCGACGTTTGAAAGTTTGGTCCTCGTATTCGCGGAGTGCAATGTCTCCCATTTAATTTTCTGATTATCTCTGCCACCAGATCATCGTGTGGTGATCCATTTTCACAGGGTAGCGCGCCCACAGCAAGGTGGTAATCGGTTGACAGCTCTGCGTCTCTCTTAACTCGAACGTCCATTACAAAGCGTCGCAAGTCAGAATATACGATTTTCAAATCGATCACCGACTTCTTTGCACGGGCATCTTTATACCAGGTATACTGATGAAGGGTTCGATGTTCGAAGGTGTTCATAATGAACAGTCCGTTGTTTGCACAAAACGCAGCAACTTCATCCCGTTGTTATTGAGGTTGGATGGACCGTTCTTTCCGATCACGCCTTTCCACTTTTCAGCGTCTACTCCTACATGCTCATGCCTAATTCGTCCATAAATATGATAGGCTCCGTATTTGCACTTCGTACAGAGCACACTGCGCTTCCACAAGGAAGGAATTATATTCTCCCACTAAGTTGGGCGCACAGACCTGTAAGAAAGTCAAGTTTTAGCCTGTTGTAGCTTTAGTCGGAGAATTACTACCCTTCGGCTGATAGACCTCCAATCAATGATTCTATCTGCGAGGTTGCGTTCTACCAGGACACCAACACCGGCCTGAGCGCGCGTCGTGATATCGACACCTGAGTAGAATAGCTTCCGCCAGCAGAGGTTGACGAGAGTCCAGCTATGTCCAGCTGGTTCTTTACAGCCTCATCAAGCTTCTGTTTTTTCTATCTGAGTGAGGATATACTCGAATTTCTGACTGTGAGTTCTCGCATTCAGTGTCGTTCCTGAGTAGCCTTATCTGACGTGTTATAAGAGCATCGGGCTGTGTGCCTCCTCCGTTTAGTTCAGACTGCGGCTGACTGGTATCTTTATCGTCGTTTTGTCGACCTTCAGCAGCCGTTGTTGTGCCATTATTCCCTTGGCTAGCAGAAGGCTTTGAGCAGGTTCTGACTGCAGGCGTTTCGCAGCCTGCTTTAGTTCCCTGACAGTCTGCGCGGTGCTTGGTAATCTGGGCGACGGCCGAGCTGGTATAATGGTCGATAACGCCAATACCAATGCGCGGTAGGTGGCTAAATTTTGCGAACATTTCGCCACGCTCCTTTTTTTCTGGCTTGGGATTGGCAAGGGCGGAGTTTATTTATTATTCAACTTCATTTTTAAAAATTATTTATTTACTCGATCAGGATCCTCTGATGATATAACTTAAGGAGGTTGTTTGACCTTAACGGCGCTCTAAAACGTTCATCCACAGTTGAAGAAATTAACTTAATTAATGAATATAGCGTATATCGGTAAAATATGCTTTAATAAAAATGGTTCCCATTTAAGTTTTATACGTAAAAAAACTGTGCTGCAAACTGTCTGCATGATGACTTTTGTGTGTTTTAGGACACTTTGCGGTACCCCAAATTACATTGCTCCAGAAATGCTGGGTAAAAAAGGACACAGCTTTGAAGTTGACATTTGGGCGATCGGCTGCATAGTATTCACACTACTGGTCGGTCGACCACCGTTCGAAACAAATTCTTTGAAAGAAACCTACAATCGAATAAAAAAGAACGAATATCATTGTCCGATGCGTATTAGTGCCAGCGCTCGGCAGCTAATCCAACGACTGCTGCAACCGGACCCGCAGAATCGTCCTACAATAAAGGAGCTGCTCGGTTTTGAATTCTTCGTTTCCGGTACGAATGAACTGTGCTTCAGTGAAATCTGGGTATTTGCAGTTTCATTTAAGGTTTCACACCCACCAGACTTCCGCCAAGCTGTCTAACAATGGCGCCAAAGTTTCCTGTGGATATAACGGTTTCTGCTCTGGGGGTTGAACGTAAGCCTTTGACGGACACTTCTAATATAGGTTTGTTATTTGTTTATTCATGGCCGGTACTCAATGAATAAGCATGTAAATGATATTTCTAGAGGCTGGCTTGTTCTAGCGTTACAGCAAATGTTCCAGTTCCTTTAATTATTGCTAAATATTCTGCTACAAGTTGTCTTGCTTCCGCTTTAGAGATAATTATCTGAAAGATTCAGATCATTCATTCATTTGCGATTCAAGTGTTCCATGTCTGCTTTTGATAAGGTAGTTTTTAACAAAACAGAAGTAGTCAGTGACAAATATTGTACTCAGTTCGGAGAGATGATAACATGAATGTGCAAGTTTGGACATCATTTTTACTCTGGACTTCCCAAATGTTGGCCGTACATGTTGGGGCCAATTCTTATAATTCGATTCTTGAACTTTCAGTTTATGAGCCAGAACCTTCTCTACAGCAAAGAATGTCAATTTATGCCTATTTTTTAATTTGCAATCATCTTTGCTGCAACACAGCCTACAGTTCGTAAGTAAAGCAGTTAAGCACTCTTCATTATTCTTTCTTTACATGAGTTTTACACTAACTACAATAACTGCTGTACGGTGTTGGTGTTATACTGTGCACTTCAGTGCTGCTTTACACAGATACGCAGGCAGTGATTCATGAAAACTTCAAAATGGTTTTATTTTTCATTTGTTTTTTTGAATAGTTGAGAAATAATTGGGTGATCTTTCTGGGAGTCAGAAATCGGTCTGAATTTTCGCACCAAAATTAATGGGAATTTTTTTTCACTTTAGGGGTTTTCGCCTTACCAGCAGTTTTCATGGCACAGATTATGCTCGTAAATTGATGGATGGGTGCATTTTACATGCAGACACTCTGTCATTGCTGACGGATCCCTCCACTTGATACCCTTTATGTAACATCGAGTGTCGGTATATTTTGCTCAGAGGGTCAGCGACATAAAGAAATTTTACCATGACATCAGCTGAGATTTTTATGAACGATGGCTCCAATTTTCTATCCTTCCATCGATATCGACGTCTTATATTCAGTGAATACGTCATTATCAGCTGTTCAATGGACAAAGGCATTCCAGCATTGCCACTAGATGCATAATTTTACGGAGAATTCTATCGGCGAGTTTAGCCAGTCACAGCTAAATATACAAATGGGAGATAAAACACTCATGTAAAATATTGCGCCAAGTTAGTTATCTGTCAGTGGTAAACGTGCAACGGATATTGATCGCTTTAATTTTACATGTCCCATTTTCGATATACTTCGCATATTTAACCTGTTTTAACGGGTGTTGCATGAAATAGGCCATTATAAATTGAAGTCGAATGCATAAACGATAATCGTTCATTTTAGATATCAAGCAAAATACCATTTAAGTCTTAGGTAGTTCTTCTGGACCCGCATAGCCATTGATCTTGCAAAATTTTTAATCTGCTTTTGCTATGGCGACTTTTATGCGCTGTTTTTGTTCTTTTCTATCGAACCGATAAATAAATTTGTTTTCAATTTAGGAGTTCTGAGTCCTATGCAGCAAGTAAGGAAAGACATGCTAGCGGCCCCTTTCCGGGCCTTGAATGTAGTGCCTGAAAATTACGTTTTACCAAACGAGAAAGTTCAACAACATTTTGAAATGTCAGTTACGGGTATGATTTTTTGCTGTGTACTGAAAACAGTGCTTAGCGTAGTGATATGACGTTTCAGGCAAAGATGAAATGCCGTTTGATTGCTACCTTGGCCAGTTGTACAGACAGCTGATCGAGCTGATTCATGCGGACCCAGTCAAAAATGGAATGATCAGACAAGGTGAAAGATTATAATTTTCAGCTTATTTGTTGCTTGTGTTGTTCTTAAGGGTCTTAACCTATTGTACTTTATTTTTAACTGTTTATGTTTATCGTATGCCTTATTCTTCAGAATCTATTTCTACGTTTCGATGTTGACAGATGTGCACAACAGATGACCGGTGGTTTAGTGCTTCATTTTGTTTTGACGTTTCGGTCAAACAACATTGACATTTAAATTAGAACTAATGATAGGTCGTTTGTTGTGCCTACAATAATAATCGAATCCTAGCGACTGATTTTGTAGTATAGTTTGGTCACTGATTGTGCAGACAAAGTCTATCCTGAAAATTAGGACGTCAGTGTGTTCTATATTTGTTAACTATGACTTAATATCTAAGTCGTCAGTATTGAAATTTTCTTATCATTTACATATAGATCTCTGGATAATGTACTGTATTTATATTCTGTACTCTATTTATATCGTCACACATTTATCAACATACGTGTCAGTTATGTTGTGCACACAACGTAACGCCCTTTGTTCCTAATCTGTGGGGGAGTGTGCTGAATTGACCTTTTCACAACATGCAGGATTGTTAAATCGGGATTTCACTCTATGAGTATGCTTGTTTATATATACAGTAACGTCGCTGTTTAAGTAATCTTTATAAATAGGTTGTTGAACAATTCATGGTACAGGGCACCAAATACAGTAAATAGTAAAACATTTATTGGCAGCGCGTTTCGCATGGCAACACAAATGGCTGCTTGAAGACAATTATATTTAACAATTGAACAACGTTATAATAGTTTTCCAATTGGCACATACCTTACAACATACCTTGCTGTTAAACTGTTTCATCAGAATGCTAACCAACAAACAGAGAGTAAAGGAATCTTTTTATATGCGCGGTGAAATACTGGATGTGCAGTAAGTACGAATCTTCCGAGGTTATTTTTCCATGGTGGTTCACAACCACGAATTTGATATGCAGAGTCGGATCGACATAACAATGATTCGACTTCTTTTTCAATATGACCTTTAATTTTTGTCTGTTGGTTGGTATTTGAGTGAAACAGTTTAACAGCGTTTAGTTTATAAAGTATGTGCTGAATGAAAAACTATAGTATTGTTCGCTTGTTGGATATAAATGCCTTCAAGCAGCCATATGTGCGCAGCTCTAATGATGCTGCGGTGTATGTAGTGAAACGCGCTGGCTATGAAAACCACATACTGTTTGGTGCCCTGATCCATGAACCGTTTAACTATTTATTTATACAACTGTGGGTCCAGAGTTAAGAATCTGAAGTCTTATTGAACTAATCTCTAGAGAAGTGATTTTAAGGTTTTGATGATGAGATTTTTCTTGTGAAGTTTTCATTAAATTGGGGTTCGATGCCGTAGTGTCAAAGAGGCCAGCTTTGAACTGCGAAGATGCCGGGTTAAAATGAACAGCATGAACAGTGTTTATTTTAACCCTGAATTCCTATGAGCAAGAAAGTTGCTTCAGTGAAATTAGCTGAGAAACGCTCAGCAAGTGGTTGACTTGCGGATAAAAGGGACATCATGGCATTTTATGATGTGGTTATATCACATTGGACGACGTGTGCGGCCTTATTTCTGATGTGAGACCCCCTTGTGACTGCAGTAGTCTTTCACCGGCCCGAGAGTTGAATATCCAGCGTATCTGTCAGCATAAGACCCACCTGATTTTGTATTCGAAATTATTTGAAAAATCAGAATCTTATAAATTTTCATTTGGAATTTTCACCAAATGCAGAAACGTTTGATCAGGATTTCACTGAATATTTTTTGGTGTTCGTTAGTTACTCATAACTGTTACAGAATTTTTTCTTTTTGCCGCTATAGAAACTCTCTTGCTTGTGCTGTTAGTCTGATGTCTCACAATTCTTGTCTTGTTGTTTAGCAACTGTTAGACTACCTGTTTTTTGTCTTTGCTTCCAGTTTAATTCCAGATTTGGTAATTTTAGAGGAGGCTGAAGATCCTGCTTCCGCTCCCATATTTTGGATAAGTAAATGGGTGGATTACAGTGACAAGTACGGAATCGGCTACCAATTGTCAGACGACAGTTTTGGAGTATTGTTCAACGATGGCACTCGCTTAGTGTTGAACGCCGACGGAGTGTAAGTTTAAACTGCGATCTGTTGAATGTTGTTCCGTCTGATGTTTCTGTCGATTTTTCCCTTTTTCAGACAACTGCAGTTCATTAAGCGTGACAACGCGGAAATGTACTTCAGGATGGATGACTATCCGGAGTCGCTGAAGAAGAAATGCACTCTTCTGAAGTACTTCCAAAACTATATGAATGACCATCTATTGAAAGTGAGATACTTCAGTACTTTTAAAAGCAGAGATAGAACATTTAATGCGGGAATTAAATTTCATGTCGCAGAAACCAATTATGGGATGACATCTGTAATCATTTTATTCTGTTCAAAAATATGAACTTTCAGTTTGTACGTGATTCATCTTCAGAAAGCAAGACGAGACAAAAACATTATCTTTAGAGTAACTGGTATTATACTGTAGCATTAGTTTGCTTAGTTTTATTTACTCCCTGAAGATTTGTCATCAAGTATGATCGTAAGCGTAAAAGATTTTATATATAATAAACTTACGAGGTGTCATTCCATGATTGATTTTTACCATGTTAAATGCTGTAATACTGTAATATTTGTATTTAAGAATTGAGTAATAATTTATTTTAGGCCGGAGGACAATTAGTTCATAGAGACGGAGACGAGCTTGCACGTCTTCCATGCTTGAGGACTTGGTTCCGTACTCGATCAGCAATTGTGCTGCACTTGAACAATGGTACCGTTCAGGTTAACTTCTTCCAAGATCATACTAAGCTGGTAATGTGCCCACTGATGGGCGCTGTCACGTATATGAACGAAAATCGAGACTGCCATACGTACAAGATCTCGCTTCTTGCTGAACATGGATGTCAGCCTGATCTCTTGTAAGATATATTTTCGTTAAGAAACTAAAAGTTTGATTTTAAATAATCTGTATACTGTGTAAGTAGTAATTAACGGTTCTCTCAAAGGATCTTACTCGTGATAGTTTGTTGTTTGGATACGTGTTCATAATTTAAGCAATTTTGCAGTGACTCTGCAGTAATTTAAAATAATGGTTTGAAGACTTGTTTCAACTGTTTTTTTTCAATCATCATCTTCCATGATCGCTTCTCCTTTCGAAACGCAAACAGAGGTGGATTGTTTTCTGTTGTTTTCAAGAAAATTGAATATTTTTGATAGAAATTCGACTTTTGTGAACGTCGTACAACTGATGAATGTTATTCTCGATTTAAAGGATAAAAGCGTTAAATTTTGGGTAAGATTGTGTTTCCACGTTCATGTTCAAATAGTGGCAAAGATGGTGTTTTCGACGTTTTTGCTGTCGTCAATCTTACATTCGAAGTCTTCTATCTTTGTAATCTGTTAATCGATACCTTACGTCTAGATCATTGACACCATGATTAAAAGAATTCACAATTCTTTTTTCAGATTTATACAGGCAGTGATCTAAATTAACGAACAGGATACTCTCTTTCTACATAAATTTGCGCTAAAGGCATCCCGGTTGTTCTTTAGTACCGTTGCCTTGTTAGCAACTGTTTTTGAATTCAAAGCGGGTCTTCAGTTTTAAGGGCAAACCCAATGCAATATGTATGTTTTTATAAGATCGTTTGCTGTTATCGTTGCAAGCTTTTTGTGAGGCTGACACCGCGGTTGGATTCGTGAAAAGCGAATGTCATGTAATATCGATACGAGTAAAGTAAAATGTTAGCATTAGAGAAAAAAATTCTCCTATTTATCTGCTTCTGCCCTTCAAAAAGGAATCGATAATTTGCCATGTTTTGTTTGAAAAATTGTATGAAATTCATGCTATACCAGAGACGAAGAATAGTTCACAATGTTTGTTTGTTATAGACTATTTTTATCATTCTTATGTGTATCAACCTTAATTGTAGTTTAAAAACAAGATGGCATTTTATTCTCTCTCACTGTAACGGATGAAGGTTTGTTTGCCTAGATGGTGAAGAACAGATAAGTGTTTAAGACTGCCGTCTCAGTGGCAGACTGCTGCCTTCTAAAGAACAGCTGCTTATTTTTGGATTGTATTTAAGTTGTTCATTATTTTCCTTTCAAATCAGTGAAAAGTATATTTTACTGATTTTCTCCTGTTCTCCGGTCTTTAACCAGTTCACAGTTCAGAAATTCATTGTTTAATCGTTATATGACGCGTGTTTTGTCACTTTTCATCCAATTTTTAGCTAGGTTTATTTGCAATGTAGACGTGACAGCTTGTTTGACCTCTAATCCCTGAGCTAGTGCTTGACAGTGGAAGATGTATACGCATATATGAAACCATTTGACTAAATGGTCTTATTTAGCGAAAAATATTCTTTTAAGTTTCGTTCGTATAACTGCTGAACATTGCTGAATGATGACAGCAGAATATTTTACTCAAAGTTCTGTTAAGAGACATTTTGCATTAAGTACTTTTCTTTTATTTGCTGATGATGCCACAGTTTTTGCAGGTTCTTGTGGATATACTGTTTTTCACCATCAAGGGATTTTCTGCATGGATGAACTATCTAGATGCGTGACTTATTGCATTTCTGTTTTTTTCTTTAAATTTTATTTCATCGTTCTCGATGGTTTACAAAAAAATGTGGCCGGTATTTTTTATAATCTCGGTAACTAACTTATTGTATTACATGCTCACTAAAACTCTATATTGGAAAATTGTTATTTTAGCAACCGACTGCGATACGCCAGAAATATGGTGGAACGTTTAATGGTGAAAACTAGTAGCAGTGCCAAGATTGTCAGCAGTTCTACTGCTGCCATACGAGGCTCACAGGGTTCGAGTGCTAAAACCACACCTGATATTCAAGTGGTGCCCGCACTCAGAGTTGGCTCCAAATAGTTGATTTTTCCTTTTCACATTTAAAATGTAATTTTTCTGCATTTGCCATACTACAAACTCGCTTGTGATAACGCTTTGAGGTGCTTCACGCAGATGAATGCTTCACACAGCGGGTCTAAAATATTTATATTGTGGTAAAATTGAAATTCCAGCGTTTGTAGTTTTATGTTGTTTAGAAATGAAACAGATTCCAGTTTTCTCTTTGACGTATATTTCTGTAACTACTAGTTTGAAAGAGCCTTGTCTGATATCCGCCATCGTCGCAGTAAATTTCGCTTTAAAAATTTATTAATTAGACTCTACGGAACTTCATTTGGCTATTTATCAATAAAATTTTTACAAAGCTTGTTTTAAAATTATATTGTGATTAAACGTTATCTTTGCTATCCAAGGTTGTTTTTCATTACAGCTAATAATAATAATTGGGATTTTCTTTCTGTCTATTCAAAACTATTGCTTCTCTGCTGTTTGTAGGGACTTGGGTGGACTGTCAGTTTAAATGGGCCACAGTTGCATGATCTGTGACATGCGATGCATGAATACGATGTAACTATGTGCAAATCATCAACGATACGCAAAATTTGGTGTTCCAGTCGAGAAAAGCTGCTCGAACTGCAGTAGTTCGTTCGCACGCGTGATGCACAGCCGTGCTCAACAGTGGAAAGGACAAGTTAGTGTGCTGGTGCCTTTAACCATCCACATAAAAACTGTTAAGATTTGGATATACCCTAAAGTTTCTGCGACGTCTAACGATAGCTCTGTCTTTGGAAGAAGCAAGCGAAATGGTAACAGTAACAAGACCACGATTTAGATTCAGTTTTGTGATCAGCACGCACTTAGGATTCTTATTTATTTTAAAAATAGAAACAAAAGAAAAGGTATAAACAGAATAATACAAATAAATTAGAAGCAACATTTTGACATGTACTTCCAACATGTACAATGTATACAGTAATTAATGTTTATCACAGATCCAGTAGAGACATCATGTCGGTATTTTACTTGGATTCTTCTCGTAATGAGGATAGTTTTGGCCGAAATCGATGCAGAAACAACTGAAATTAAAGAAGCGAGACGCTGGTGAAATGTTTCCTTTTCGTCGTTACACGAGACATGACATGAAAAGTTCTGGAAAAATTTGCAACTTACTTGTTTGATCTCTTCCACTTGTTTGCTCAAGTTTTCTATGTCAGAGACTTTTTCAGACAAAAGTTTCTGAATTGCCTTCAAATCGCTTTGTTCGCTTTCTGCTTCATCTTGAGACAACGACATTGCTCTCATCCTAGGAAACCAGTCCAGGTTGCATTCCTAAATAGATTTGGTAATATGGCTTAGAAGCAGTCTGGGAAGACCGTGTAACACCTCAGAAGTTTGCCCCGGTTCGAAGGGATAATAGAAAATAAATGGATAATCCCATCCGTCTTACCATGACTTGCGTGCATGCTAACTACACTGTTCCATCATAGCACGATCCCGTTGAGACCGTTCGCTAACGAAGCGGACTGGTCTATTTGTACAAATATTTTATCAGCAGACCATTTCTACTTGGATACTTAAACCTTTGGTTGACACATTTCGCGGTAAACTTTGAGCTATAATGCAAAAAGAAAATGTCATCAGATATGTCCCAAGTCATGAAGATCGGTAACTCAGGACAAGGCCAAATGGAACGGTAAGTGTACTGTTATAGGTCAAATCAGTTCAAGGGAATGCAATCGTACAAGACACCGGTTGAATCACTATCTCTTTAGGAAAGGAGAGACAGAAAAGGCAGATTGAGAGAATGGATAACACTCCGTGTGAGGTAAGGGAGTGGCCTTTAATAACGAAAGTAGCACTGGCGGAAGTCGAAGAGGAGTGGCTGAAAAGAATGAGGCACGCGATTCACGAATATGAAGCAAAGTTTCCGGATGTCTTAATTGAAAGAAAGTTGTTTCGCTTGCAATACTGGCAGGAAAAAAGTTTCTAAAGTTCGTTAATAAGGTTTTTACAATCTTAATATTAAGATAACATAGTGATCAGTCTGTATTAGCAGAAGATGCTTATAGCTGCAGGGAGCAATAGTACTTGATTTATCCATTTACATACCATAATTGGCTGATGATTTTCTAGCATTCAGAGAAAAATATTCTGTTGGGCATGTGTTGGTGGATGGCATCAGTCGTATTGCAGTAGATCTCACGTTTTCTCTATTCATTGGAAATCGAATTTTCAGCAGGCGTACTCAGCTGATGTGATCATAATAGCAGAATGTTTTACAGACATGAAAAACAAAAAGCGGCGATAAAGTCGTCAGAAGCTGAAGTTGTCGAGAAACTTAGGGCAAAAAATAAGATTAAAAAATGAAATAAAAAAAATGCGATGAAAAGCTACGTGGATAAAGAAAAGTCGCGCAGCCGTAAGACCACGTACTTCACTAAAAGGGCAGCTGCTTCTTCAGTCAGATTTCTGATGAACAGATAATTCAAGATTAACGGATAATAAACAGTTTAATGGAGCAAATCAGACAGTCTGTCGCATAATATAAGTTTTGCGAGCTTACTTCAAGGGAAATTTAGTAGTCTCTGGTAGTGCTGACATAATCCTGCTCACAACTGGTTATGGATCAGTTGCAACTGGTTGAGATTGAGCCGGAAGTCCTATATATAGCTACACGGTAGGTTCGTATGGTGACAGTCAGCTTTCAGAGTCCTGGCCCAGGATCTTACGGCTTGAAAGAAACCAGCTGGTGTAGGGAGTAAAATCACTACTAACCGAGGAATACACGATTAAAGACAAATAAGAGCCGCCGGGTGCGATCGAAGCGTCACTGTAGTGATCTGCGTTGTGCAATCAATTTTATGCTACTTCAAGAAAATTGAATATAAAAGGTCGTTTCGACCACATGAGAATCCATAGCATGCATTACCTGTATCATAAGATTAACATAGCTTTCAGGTCCTGTGAACTCGGTGGATTTCTTCACTTTCAGCAGTACATAGAAAAAGAAGTAACACCACATGTTGTGTTCTTTTTCAACGTGTTCCTC